GGATAAATGCACTATTTCTCTCCATACATATTAAATAATAATAGCACAAAAGCTGGATGCAATTTTATTACCCATTTTCAGCCAATTTTAGTGTTTTTGTTTCTTTTCAGAATATTCAGTAGTTTTTCAACATACCCTGGAGAAATGGTAATGTGAAAACTATGGCATCTTATTTTAGTAAAATATCTTTAGTGTATCCTTTGGACAAAGCTTCTGAAGTCTAAATTGCATTAGAATCTATTCTATGGAAATACAATTCGTGAAGCAATTATTTTCTGATATTTGGTTGGTATTCTTTTTATGTAAAAATGAGAAGCTTAATTTTGAGAATTATGAAAGTGCCTCTCCCAAACTGGCATGTTGTCCTGTTCCCACTAAGTGAGTCATTCAAGATGAACACATTCCTCTCATGAAGGGGCATGTGTTAATACTGCACTTAAAGGCACGATCTAACTCTATCTGTACTGACATGTATCATCAATTAAAAACTATGAAACTACAGCCTTTGTTCAGTTGTCTGACTCATACCTTAGATTATGGACTACAGTTAGAATATGTTACTCTCTATAAACTCACTTCCTCTAATTCTTGAAGTTATTTTAATATTCCTTCATGTCAAATATTAGTTGCTTACTTAATATATTCAATCATTTTTACCATGTCCCAAATATCCTGTAGGTACTCCCTGAGGACTACAAATACCCAGGGGACAGTCTTGGCTCTCAAAGAGCTTAGAATCTAATGGAGGAGACAGACATTTACACAAATCTATTACAAGGCTACAAGAGGGCTATTGAATTAGGTACCAAAATGGCTGGAGGTGGGAAACGATTCTGGTTGGAAAATTTACCAGGGTCCTCTTCTCCAGATATCAGCTCTTTACCTAGATCTGGAAAGATGAGGAGGGTTTCCGCAGCATAAGTGAGGGTTTATCTATCCTCAGGCTAGGAGGTAAGGGAATTAGCACTGTGCCTTCAGGTGGTGGCAAGGGACACAGAGGGTGGTCGCCAAATTCATTTCACAGGTAAAGCAGGAGTTGAACTCTGAATGCTTTATCCCTTTGGATGGCTTTCAGTTCTTTCAGGTCAATAGGGAAGATGATATGCAAAATGTGTGATAATCAAGACATTAACTGATAAGGTACAAAAATGAGGACTCAGATCTCTTGGATCTCTTCAGATTTTAGTCAGAAAAAATTATTCATCTTGCAGGGTATGGAAACAATGCAAGGTATCTTATTCATTTATCAGCCATGACCAAACAAGATTCAGAAAATGATTCCCTTGCTTCTTCCTCACGCTCAGAAATAGCAGGTATGGACCAGGTGTGGTGGCTTACACCTATAATTTCAGCACTTTGGGAGGCCGAGGCAAGAGGATTGCTTGAGGCCAGAAGTTCAAGATCAGTCTGAGCAACATAGCAAGACCCTGTCTTTACAAAAAAATAAACAAATTCGCAGGTTTCGTGGCATGCACCAGTATTCCCAGCTACTGGGGAAACTCAGGTGGGAGGATCATTTGAGCCCAGGAGTTGAGGCTGCAGTGAGCCAATGTCATTCCTCTGCACTCTAGCCTGGGTGACAGAATGAAACCCTGTCTCTAAAGAAAAAACAAACAACAATTAAAAAATAAATGACAGGTGATACACACTCAAAAGCTATTCATGACTGGGTTAGAAAAAGGAGAACAGAGGCTGGGCATGGTGACTCATGCCTGTAATCCCAGCACTCTGGGAGGCCGAGGCAGTTGGATCACCTGAGGGTCAGGAGTTTGAGACCAGTCTGGCCAAGATGGTGAAACGCTGGCTCTACTAAAAATACAAAAATTAGCTGGGTGTGGTGGCTTGCGCCTGTAATCTCAGCTACTCGGGAGCCTGGGGCAGGAGAATTGCTTGAACCCGGGAGGTGGAGGTTGCAGTGAGCTGTGATCATGGCATTGCACTCCAGCCTGACCAACAAGAGCAAAACTCCATTAAAAAAAGAAAAAAAAAAAAAAAAGAAAAGAAAAGTAAAGTAAAAGGGGAGCAGAGCAGAAATAGAAATCAAAGTCTAAATTTTTAAAAAACCAATTCTCCTTCATGCATCCAGAGAAGGCAAATATTCCTAACACATGTTCCCACAGTTCCAAATATTTCCTTGGATTAGATGTTATTTTTAGGGAAGGCATTCAGGATTAGGTTAGGTAGCAACTGAACACTCACTGGGAACACTCATCTGGGACTTGATCCACTGAACACTCATCTGGGAACTTATCTTGGAATTATTTTCTTGATGAAGACTAAATATCTTGGAACAGAGTTGAAACAAAGGTTAGAACTGACACTATTTTAAGACTTGTCCATAAAGGTATGTGGTATGTGCTGTACTTCACTCCCTGCCTAATACGATGGGCCTTAGTCTAGCTCATAAATGAAGTTCATGAGAAACACAAGCCTTGTGTGTATCTTTTCAATATTTCTTAGGAACGTGGCACTTATCTAGTTAATGCGGGCCTTGAATGTTGCCAGCTCCATTCTGCTCTTGTCGGTTCAATGAAAGCAGTTTGATCACAGTCAAGCATGGCCTTGGATTCTTTCAGCTGTTGAGTTGGTGCATTCTTGTTAGAAGGAAGGTATTATTTTCTACGTTGCCTAAACTCTAAATAATCAATTTAAGGAGAATAAGATAAAATATCTTTGCTATGGTACACCCACTACTAAGATGGCCTTCAAAGCTCTCTGCCTTTTGGTTTCCATGTCCTTGTGTAATTCCCTTCTCTTTTATGTGAGATGAACTTAGTGTCATGGTTCTAAAGAACGGATTATGGCAAAAGTGATGGGATATCATTTCCAATATTAGATTTCGAAAGCCTGTGGCTTCTGTCTTCCTAGCACTCTCTTCCACTCCATGGTTCTTGTTTGATTGCTTGCTCTAGGGGAGCAAGTTGACATATTTAAAGTTGTCCTATGGAGAAGCCCATATGCCAAGGAATTGAGGGTGGTTTCTGGCCAATAGCTAGTGAGAAAATGAAGTCCCTAGCTCAAAGCTTGGAGGGACTGAATCCTGTCAGTGACCATGCGTGGGAGTGAGCTTGGAAGCAGATACTTTCTTAGTTGTACATTGAGATGACGGCAGCCTGTGACAGTCCCTGAGTCAGAAGACCCAGAGAAGCCACCCTCAGATTCCTGATCCATAGAAACTGAGATAATACATGTTTCAAGCCACTAAGTTTTGAGTTAATTTGTCACACAGCAATGGATGATGAACGCACCTGTTTATAGAAGTGGTAAGGCTTGGGAGTGGGGCATAAAAGAAAGAGAATATGTCTATTCAGTTGCATCTGTCAGAGTCACCAACCCAGGTAGGATCTTTGCGACAGATGTTCTACATATACTGTTTATAATCATTGCAACCACCTGGCAAGGATGGTGTTATTCATACAGTTTGGGTGAAACTGAGGTTATGGAAATGTTGTTATTTGGCTCTGAACATGTAGTTAGAAGATGACAGAGATGAGTGAGGAACCAAAGTCTCCCTTACTCTGAAGCCTTGGTTCTGTCCTCTGTATCAGAGGGGTGTTAGAGGCCTGAGTGGGGTTAAGTAGGCTGGAAATCAGAATCACCTGTGGGTCATTTTATAGTTAATCATGTCACTTTCCTTTTCTGGAGGTCCTGACACTGTTTAAACTAACCATACTACACAGTACAGTTGCACCTGAAGAGTTTTGCCCCTGTACAAGTTCAGCCATATCCCATGTAGCTTGGGCCCCAAATCAGAGAATAAAAACTATGCATTGCAGATAGGTTTTGACTGAGAATATGGTAGTCCTTAGATGCCTCTGTGGTGATTAACAAGGTGACCATATGACTTTGGCATTCTGGTGTTAGGTCATTTTAATTAAGTGAAAAATTAAAACAATATACCCAGAGCTCCACTATTTGATGAGCTTCATATATAGTCTTATGTGTCCCAGTCCCTTCCTCACCTACAACCAAAAATTGACAAAATGAGTTTGGTTAAAGAAGGACAAGTTGGAAGTAGACTGGATGTATGATGAGTGCTGCCTTCATTTGGTTGTGGGAACAAGATTATGAAAAAACAGAAGGGTAACCTACACCTTAGGAAGATGTAGGTAGCCCCAGATGTTCCTTTAGTGGCAATTTGCCTTCTGAAGCTGGGTAGGCAGCTGCAGAATTGATTGGACTCTGAGAACAGGCTGCGGCTGTGTTTTACCAGCTCTAATATCAGGTCTAAGGTCTCTCTCCTATCATCAGCCCTTCAGCTCTTGCAACAGCTTTCCTGCCCATGGCTCTGGAGAGGGCCAGATAAGCCTCTGGCTGCTCATGGTTCTCACGCAGGTTACGGCCTTGCTTCCATGGGAATGAACTCTCCACACACATAAGAGAAAGACATCACAATTAGCTGACAAAGGCCATAGTTTCTCCTGGAGGAGGTGATTGGAGTGGTCTCTTTTTCAATGACTTCCTACAATTTCACTGTGTTTTTGCATAGATTTCTCTAGAGCAGCACTACCCAATAATGTAGGTAGCCCCTAGTCACATGAGGCTATGCAGCATTTGCAATGGGGTTAGTGAGATAGATGAAGTAAATTTTTCATTTAATTTCATTTCCATTAAATTAAACTTAAATGACCGTATGTAGCTGGTGACTGTTGTGTTGGATAATACAGTTCTAGAGGTTGTTCTCATTGTATTGTTGTTTTGTTAATTTATTTTGGGTTGATATTTATTGGACACTTTCTATGTGCCTGGCACTATACTTAGAATTTTGTATGTATGCATCCAGTTTTTGCAGAATGCGATGAGATTGATAATATTATTTACATTTTCCAGAGCAGAAAGTTGAATCTCAGAGATGAAGTAGCCTGCTTCAGATCACACAGGCAGGAGACAGGATTCAACACAAAGTCTGTCTGGCTCCAGCCCTGTGTTTCCTGTACAGAAGAATGAGGCAGAGTCAGCAGGAATAGAGGGTTAAAAAAATGGACACAAGACAATGAAAATATAATCTGCGTTATAATAGGTTCTTTCATTTTATTGCTTATTGTAAACACTTTGGCCACAGCAAATGTTAGTTTTTAAATAACCATAATTCAAAGCTTTCACATCCTATACTGTTTTTCCCCAAGCATCATCATCTATGAAAACACCCAGTGAACTCCAACAGTCTATACTTGTAATGTGCGCATTTATGCTATTATGCCACTTAATACAAATAGTAAAAATACTCATCTATTGTAGGCTTATGGGTTTGTAAAATGCCTTATGGGAGGCCATAAACAACTCAAAGAAGAGAGATGGTGTGGACTGAACTGGCTTCTATTTGGGGAAAATTTCCAGAACGTAGGAGGTATGCAATAAATGTTTATTGATGGTGAAGATGATAAAACTCTATTTCTGCTGGTCTTTCCATTTTTCTTAAAGAATATATGGTATATTTGTATTCAGCATTCTCAGAATCGTCACAGGGACCCTGGCACTTTGAGAGTCATAGCTGCAGTGTAATTGGGTCTGACCACATGCAGAAGAAAAATAAATTAAAGCATGGGTACTATTAAAATTGTGCTGAAAACTTTATGTAAGTCGGGGAGCCCCTCGCTAGAACAGGCTGAAACTCCTGAATGCTTCGCATCCTCATGTATAAGAAAATAATCAGTGCTTAAAAATCAAGGAAGTCATTCAAAACAAATTCAGCCTTTGGACCTTACTGGCAGGTAGATTATATTTCAGTCAGATCAATACCTTTCTAATATAGGTATTTGAAAGTAATATATACTACTTATAATAATGATGTAGTAAGCTTCTTATCTGCAAGTATAGGTACTATAACTTAAACCTTAAAATGCTTCATTTGATTCTTTCATTCAGCAAAATTCTTGGCACTTTTTGGGATTTCACTGAATTTTGATGATGATATTAGATTAAACATTTTAGATTTAATCATAAAATGACACAAAAATCTAATCATCTATTTCCAATGTTCAATATACAATTTTTATAAATACCTGAAACAACTCATATAAAAATATAAAATGTTAAGGTCACTCACAGCAAAATACAGCACATTAGAATTATTTATTATACATATAAAGGTAGGCACTTCATAAAATTTGCATTTTGGCAAAAGGCAAGAGTTTGATGTCAGTATCTTAATTTTGTTATTAACTTTTTTAAGAAAATAGATTATCAAAATTTTACAAAAAGAAAAAAATAATAGTTTCAAAGATTTCCACAGAAGGGAATCTGAACTTCATTTCCCACTCTTTCTTCTTTTTGCAAGCTTGTTGTGTATCTTCATGGTCAAGTTCTGAGATTTTTGCTCCCTGACCTGAAATCTTGTGGGAATATTTGATTTCTCATCTTTTACTCAGAAGTGATGTGTCTGCTACCTGTGAAACTTGATACAATTTTGTTTTCTCCCCACAGTTGGAATAACCTTTATTCTGATCCACTATAAAGTCAGATGATGTTTAGGTGGTAGTAGCTGGCATTGAAGAGTACTTGGCTTCAAGTGGTTATTGAGTCTTTTTGGTCTTGTTTTAACTCCGTAATTAAATAAATAAGATCCAACTCTTTCTGTTGTATTCGCTATTGAACACATAGAAATTCACTTCACACCCACCTAAAACACAAGCAGAACTTCTGAGGCCCAATGGACCCATCTACTATTTGATTTTGTTATCCCTTCTGGAGCATGTCTCTACCAAGAGCTTCACAAAGCAATCTAGTTGTTGCTCTTTCTTGTACTAAAACCAGAGCACCTGTCCTGTAACTTCCACCAGGACCTCAAACAGTGCTAGGCACATAATAAGCTCTTAGGCACTCAAAATACATTTATTGATGAATGAAAGAATGAACAATTCTAGTTCTGACTTTTAAAGCTACGTAGAGTAAAGTTGCTTCCTTGTGTAGGCCAAATCATTCTCCCATTCTATTTAGACCTTCTTTTTTCCAGGATCAACACTGAAACTTCCTTCACCTTGGCCTTAAACAACATGATTATCAGATATTTTGTCAATTACATTACTCTTCTCTGAATGTGCTTAGGTGGATCAGTGGATCTCTTAAAATGTGGTTCCATAGAACCAAACATTAATATTCCAGGTAGGGTCAGCTTTGAGCAGAGTAGAAACCCTATATCTCCTAGCAGGGATATTCCACCTGACATATTATCTGACCCCAAAAAGTATTCCTTGGAGCAATTCTTTCTTGCCTGTTTCTGAGTAGAGGCATTTTATTCCAGGCAAGATCACCCATTGGCACATGTTCTGTTCTGGGAGATAGATTATTTCCTTGGGTTTCCAGGATAAGGAGGGGGTGGAGAACGCTGTGCTGAGCCCTGTGGGGTGGCGGAGTATGGAGGAGGCAAGTCTGCACAGTATTCCATCTCATGGTCGTAACCGTAGGGAGGTGGTGCTGCTGAAAAAGAAGGGGAAGAGAACATCAGGGAGTTAGCAAATATTTGCATTTCTACTGTGTTGCAGCCACTGGGCTAGACACTTTGGGAAGGGATATAAATTGTGACTGCAAAAATCTTAGTTTTATTAGGTCGAGACCACATACGTATGAAAGGGTAGGTGCTCTAAAATGTGGTATCATGGGTCAAAGTGTTAAGAATTGGTTGTTTAGAGAAAGTTTCTTGAAAATATGATGCTGAAGGGGCAGAAAGAGAAGCTGAGGGACAATTCAGGTTGATCAAAAGCACTGAAGCGGGAGAGCCCTTCAGCTCAAGCAAAACGTGCATGAAAGGGAGAATGGGAAAAGACAATGAGGAGTCTAGTTGTATCACCATGGCGGGCTCTGAATGCAATGTAGAATGTATAACATGTAGTTATCAGAGATTCTTTGATCATGGTAGTGAATATGCTTTGGGAAGACCACTCAGCAGTTGACAGAGGCAGAGGTAGATCAAAGAAAAGCTGCAACAATGTAATGGCATATGTGAGGGATGATAAGGGACTCATGACAGTGAGGGGAAAAGCATCGTAACAGTCCTTGAGCAGCCAAGTCTTTAGATGATGACTGGGTGTGTGGAGAAAGAGGGTAAAAAGTGAAAGAAGGGGTTGAGGTATTGGGTACCCAGTACAGGACTCCTATAATTGGAGGGGGGTGGAACCATTACAGAAATATGAAGAAGAAGACAAAAAAGGAGGACAAATAGGTTAGGAAATAAAGATGAATAATTTAATTTTCTGCATCTTATTTGAAAATTTTTCTTAAATTAACTTTTTACTGTACCATACGTCAGTGTTTTTAAAAAGTTTTTAAATTTTAAATTATTTTATTTTTTGAATTGATACATAATAATTATACGTATTCATGGGGTAAATAGTGATGTTTTGATATGTATAATGTATGATAATCAGATCAGGGTAACTGGTATACCCATCGTCTCAAACAGTTATCATTTCTTTTTGCTGGGAACATTTAGCATCTTCCTTCTACCCATTTGAAACTATATTATTATTGACTATAGTCATCCAGTGGTATAGAACGCTGGAACTTATTCTTCCTATCTAGCTATAATATTATATCCCTTAACAAATTTCTCCCTATCCATCCCTTTTTCCTACCGTTCTCAGCCTCTAGTATCCTCTGTTCTACCTTTTCATACACTTTATGACTATGCATAAATGTCTATTTTGTAGTGGTCTCAGTTCCTTTCTCCAGTGTTGAAAGAGAAGTACTCCTTGAGCTGAAATTTATCCGTGCTTCCAAGAACTGAATCATTTTGCAACATCTGAGCAACTCCCTCAGCAACCAGTCTGATGAATTGCCAGTAGTTGAATCATCCTCAGGATCCTGATTCTGCTTGGAAACGGACATGCCTTAATTGCCTACTGTGAACGTAACCCAAATCACAAGACCAGTGTCATAATAATGCAAATAAGTGGGCAACCTTTTAATACTAGAATGGCAGAAAAGAACAGACAACATTTCAACAAACTTTTCTAAATGTCTTCTATTAGGTTGATGCAAAAGTAATTGCAGTTTTTGCCATCAAAGTAATTGCAAGAACTGCAATTGCTTTTGCATGAACCTTAATTTGTACTCTTTCCAATAAGAATTTGACAGTGTTCTGATAAACAGACATAGACATACATAGCGCTTCCACCGATATGCTGACAAAAACTATGTTTTTGATGTGGTTTGGCTCTGTGTCCCCACCCAAATGTCATGTCAAACTGTAATTCCCAGTGTTGGGGGAAGGACTTGGTGGGAGGTGATTGGATCAGGGGGGTGGATTTCCCCCTTGCTGTTCTCAGGATAGTGAGTGAGTTTTTACAAGATCCGGTTGTTTCAAAGTGTGTAGCACTTCCCCCTTCTTTCTCTCTTCTCCTGGCCACGTGAAGATGTGCTTGCTTCCCCTTCACCTTCCACCATGATTGCAAATTTCCTGAGGACTCGCCAGCCATGCTTCCTGTACAGCCAGTGGTACTGTGTGTCAGTTAAACCTCTTTTCTCCATAAATTACCCAGACTCAGGTATGTCTTTATAGCAGTGTGAGAATGGACTAATACAATTTTCTTCTGGATCTTTTTAGTTTGCCTATCTTTACCAAGAGCTTGATGATTTGAACCACTTACTGATTGCCCTGTACTTGGAGGATGTGAGGAAGCAGGATTGAGCCACCGAAGAGAAGAGGAAGACGGAACCACAGAACTGAGTGGGATGTCCCCTGAGCACTCCTTTGTGGAGCAAAAGTCTTGCAAGTCTCTAGTGGGCTGGGCAGGCTGAAGGTGTTCGGCCGAGAACATAGCTCTGTAAATAAATCAGCAAGGATGCATACATACAGTTTCCCCAATGCTCCCTCAGACCCTTGGAGGCTGGGCTACTCCAAGCTCTGTTTCCTGCAACAAAATGAAGTAAGTCCTGTGGAGTCTAAATACACATTTCCTCTGCATTACACCCACTCCTCAACTTCATTATATCTAGGAGCACTGAGACAAAGAGATTTATAATAAACTTCATCCAAGCCAAGAATGAAACACTGCAGCCTCCACGGAAAATAGGAAGTTGCAGCAGGAAACCCTTTGAACCGTTTCATATAAGCATGTGGTTCTATGCTGCTTTTCTGCCAAAGCTTTTCCCTGCCTCCCACTTGAGGAGCACACACCAACTGATTCTGCAGATTGACTCTACGTCATTCTCTGTCATGAAGCCATGGCATGTGTTTATGCATCTCTAACAAAGCGTTTATATTCTGCCATCTGCATAAAAACTGCTGGAGGACATTTCAGCAAGAATCCCTATGGTTTATGCAGCTGCATGTTGAACATGAAAATCTAAGATATGACAGTGGTCTTTCATTCATATAATCTTTGAACTTCGATAAAGTTCTGATGTAATATTAAAAAGTGGTATTTTGAGGACTACCCACCAAGAAATAAACATGGCACATCTTTTCTAATAGCCACTGGAGGACGTTTGAAATAATATTTGTATAATTGTTGGCTGTATTATCATTCTTTCTTGCACATAATAAAGTTTCACTGGAAGTAAACTTTTCAAAGTATCAATTTTAGAATTCCTGATTAATCCTAAGAGGTTTTGTTCTTTTTTTACAGCTCAAATCATACTTACAAGTTATATGGATGCAGCTGGAGATATAGTGCTTTTGAAATCCTTTCATAACCAATATTCTAATCTCCTATTTAAGTAGGGTAAATAGGCCATTTATCCTCAATGTCTGATACAGTTGTCTACAGTATTTAAAACATTTAGCAAGGCCATGAAATTCGGAGAAGAAATATAATGTTTTCTATCCACTCAGTCCAGTATTTCTAAAGCTAATGTGGTGGGAAGATGCATGGTGTTACCCAAACACTTCACGATTATTTCAGAAAATTTGGAAACAGAAGAAAATCATCCATAATTTTGTCACCCCAATTTAACAAATAATATCTTTGTATACTGTCTCTTAGTCATTTGTGTGTAGTTGCATCCTTGCAGTCACAGAACATGGTCTATACTTTTTATTACATATTATATATTATATATACTTTGTATTATAACATAAGTCTTTTCATTCTGCTGCATATTCTTCATAAGCTTTATTAATGGCTGCCTTAGAAGTTATTCCATCCACCATTCACTATTTTGAGGTTAATTTTTTATTATAATTAATGTAGTGATGAATATCTCCTTACACATAGACGTTTTTATTATTTTGATTTTTTTAAGAATAAAATTCCAGAAATTAATTAACTGGCTTAAATAACATATATTTTATTGCTTAGAACACATTATAAAACTACTTTCAAAAAGAATTATTTCAACTTGTAAGGGTATACAAGTACATTATCATTTAATATTTTAGTAAATTAAGTGAAAATTTTAGGTCTTTATTTTACTTGATAATTTCTTTGCCAATAGCTAGGTCTGACACTCTTTTACATCTTGTCCCTGTTTATTACTCATATTGAATGAATTTTGTGCTGTTTTTCTGGACTGGTGATAGTTTCTAAATGATGATCTTAATTTCAATGAAGATATAAGTAAGATATTAAAAAGTACACAAAATTATATGTATTTTAATAAAAACCCTTTGTCAAAATGGTTTATTATATAATTTTTACCTTACTGATATTCTGAAGTTTAAAACCTAGGCATAACAAAACATATGGTTATTCATTTAAAACATCTCTTCTGTGTTGTTTCCAAGTTTAAAAATTAGTCTTCTTTTTCAGATAGTTGATACATAACTATCCTGTTTCTGAGTTTACCTATTTAAATTTATATGTTTAATGCTTCTCTACATCTGTTATTTTATTTGGCATATTTTTGCATCAAAGTTTATGTTTTCTAAGATTTAAATTTTGGTTAAGCCAAATTATCTAAATGTGGCTTATTAAATAATCCTCACATTTTACATCCTTTGGCTATGTCTCCTTTAGAGAACATATAATTCTAAACTACCTATTCTGTTCCAATGACCAAAGTATATCTTTTTGTACCAGACACACCTCAGTTTAATTATTAATGATTTTAAATAGTTTTAATACCTGGTAGAAGTGATGAATCTCATGCCTTATATTTAAAGACAATTTCTTATTGTAAACCTTCTCATCTACTTTCCCCCAAAGCCCACTACTCAACACTTTCCTAACCCCACCCAGAACAGAGGGTTTAAATAAAGGCCCACACAGCTCCTGGCAAGACCTCCATTACCCCCATCCCCAGCCACATAAACTCAATACTGCCCATTTATCCTCTACAATGGCCTAATATGCAAAGATACAGTATAACCTATTGTTCCCCTTCCACTCAGATAGCATCAAGACAAATTCCATCAAGCCTCACATCCCTCTGTCATCATGAGAAAGGCATGTTTCCTTATTGCAGACGTTTAATTCTGGAAGGCTTTGCGCATTGATTCATTACTTTTCCAGACGTTCCCCACCCGCTTCACTGTGCTCAGTGGAGCACAATCTGTCACCTCACCCTCTTTCACTGTCTCCACTATGCAACTCCGGCTTTCAGAATGAGAGTTCTCTTCTGACCCTGTCTGTTTTCTTGAGAAATTAGATCTGCTGAGAAATCATCTGCTGAGAGTGAGAAGGTTGAGGGGATTTTTGAGTTTTGAGATGAAAGAAGATGCATGAGACGGTTAACTCAGGAAGTGGAAAGGAACATTCACATCACCTTTTTACTCTAATTAAAATCTGATTTTCCAGGAGAGGATGGCTTCTTCAGCAGCACTACCAAAGCAGAGCTATTCTTTTTTTCCCACATCCTACCACCTATAGGGCCAGGAGGTGCTCAGGCTGTTCATAATCTTCATAGCCGCTTTTCAAACTATTATTCTTACTCTTTAAAACATTTTGTAGCATATAAGCCATGTTTTTTTGTTTCGTTTTGTTTTGTTTTTTTGATGGAGTCTCGTTCTGTTGCCCAGGCTGGAGTGCAATGGCGTGATCTTGGCTCACTGCAACCTCCGCCTCCCTGGTTTCAGTGATTCTCCTGCCTCAGCCTCCCGAGTAGCTGGGACTACAGGCACCTGCCACTATGCCTGGCTAAATTTTGTGTTTTTAGTAGAGACGGGGTTTCACCATGTTGGTCAGGCTGGTCTCAAACTCCTGATCTCATGATCCACCCAACTCGGTCTCCCAAAGTGCTGAGATTACAGGCGTGATCCACCATGCCCAGTCCACCATGTTTTTTTTTTGTAGTACATATGCCATGAAAAGAGAAGCATATACCATGCCTTTTTTTTTTTTTTTTGGATGGAGTAGGTGCCTTGCTATTTTGCCCAAGCCAGGATCAAACTTGGGATCTTCCTGCCTTAGCCTCAGTAGTAGCTGGGGCAATCTTATACTACTTCTTGTTATCAATATCTGTGGTCTGCCCTACCCCAGACCTTCATTCACTGAAGACTTAACATCTGGCCCATGGTCTCTCTTTCCTCCACAACTTCTCTTATCATTCTTGTGATTTCAACATTCACCTAGCCCTGCCTCTCAAGTCCCTTGACTATTTTTCCTTCAAAATCTCTTCACCCTTGTTGTTGGCAATAACAGTGCTATTTCGTAAATGTTAATTAATAAATCTGACCACCACCCTTTAGTATCTTTCTAGAATACTCATTCCACCGCATCTTGGACCTCACCTGCATTTCCAATTTACTAATGGCAATTTTAAAGGAATTCAAACTGATGTCACCTCTTTCCTGTCATGGTGTCCTTTGTTATTCGGCATTGATTTATGGGCCATCACTAAAATTACTCTTTTGTACCTATTGTCAATGTTCTTATCTCTTTCTCCATTGCCTGGAAGAACCCCAACCCTTATTAAACCCAACACTTTGGTTATCCTGGATCAATAGCTAGGAGCTTAATGTGACTAGAGAAAAATGCACAATCATGCTGAATGATTTCACTTTGAGTAAATGACCATTTTAATAAGTGTTGTGGCCTTTGCCCTTGCTCGGAAGCTATACATTTCTTTGGGCATCTTATACTATTCATTTTCTGAGATTCCCGTTTCAGGCTTTTTTTTTTCTTCTTAACCTCAAATACCTCCTCAGTTTTCTTCACTCTCAGCAGAAGACTTGCTTCTTATTTCACTGAGAAAATTGGCACGAGCAAAAGAGAACATCCTTTGACCACCAAATCTACAACTCATTGAAACTGTGTTTATGTACTTACTGCCTTACATATGCTGTACGTAATAAAGTGTCTCTGATCGCCCTGTACATAATGAATTGTCTCTGATCCCATCAAAGGCTAGCCCCTCTACTTGTGTAATGAATGCCTTTCTTCCTCAGACTTAAGGATGCTGATTTTCAATAATCCCTTCTATCTTCTGTATTCATGAGTTTCCTCCTTTATCTTTATTATCAGTGTACTTGCAAAATACAAGTCACTACCATCTGGATTTCTCAATAAGAAACAAACAACAACAAAAACAAAAACAAAAAAAACAACAAAAAAAACCCTCTTGACTTAATGTCCATCTCAGTCTTCTCTAACCATTTTATAGCAAAATTTTGTACTTGCTAGTTCTACTTCATCATATAATATACTCATACATTTTGTCTGCAGCATTCATTCTGTAGCCATAGTTAATATGACATCAAAGAAGGTTTTCTCAGTTCATGTTTGAATTCTCTGATTTGTACTAAAAACGTTTGCCTGGGCGAAGGCTTGACCACATTGATGTATCCATTTTGTTTCATTCCAGTGTCTTCAAGATGAAGCCATTTTCATAGTCACAATATTATTATAGAGAATCTTTCCAGTATGCATTTTTGATGTGTAAAGAAGTTACACATCAGATGAAGGTTGTTTTTAATATTCAGTACAAACACAGAAGTTTTCTTTAGTATGAATATGAACTTGTGATCTCTAAAAAGGTTTGATGAGTACTCAAAATTCTTCTCATATCATTGCACATACTAATAAGGTTTCTGTCATGTGTGAAACCAGTGATGCAAATGGGGTATTTATTTCTTAATGCAGTATTTCCAAGAGACTTGGAAGACTACAGGCCAGTTGTTTTATTGAATGTTCCTCAACTTGGGTTTGTCAGATACTTTCTCATGCTGAGATTTAGGCTGTGATCTTCCAGGTGGAACCTACATACATGAAATTGTGTTGTTCTCAGAGTAACACACTCAAAGGTGCATGATCTTTATCTGTCCTTTAGTAACCGTAAAGTTACTATTTTTCACCTGATAACTGACAAGAAATCTGGTGGACACTTTAAGACCTGCAAATATCCTTCTCAGCACATTCTCCTCTAGATTTAGCATCTGTTGATGATTTTTGACTAACTCTTTCTTTATGATGGTTTTAAAATATTTTTTTTCAATTCTATAACTCCCTTCTACATTTATTCTTTGACATTGTTCTGTTAGGAAGAGCCCCATTCCCCTCTCCAATTGTTTGTCTATCCTATCTATCATCTGTCTGTCTATCTATCTATCTATCTATCTATCTATCTATCTATCTATCTATCTATCTATTATCTACCTACCTACCTATATCTATCTATCATCTATTGTCTTCAGAGGACTCAATAATATTCCTCAAATCTCAATTTTCTTGATGGCACTGAATCTCTTGCTTTCCTTTTGTTAGCATTTGACTTTTATATCTTTGCCAAGCCTTTTGTTACAGTTTTACTGTATCATTTTCTTTCAGATGTGTAGATCCCAAACCTGCTGTAAGACAAGGGTTACTATGATCACTTTCCTTTGTTTACACTAAAGTTCTGAAAAGTAGTTGAAATGGAAAACTTGAAAATTCTTATCTTCATGTGGACAATTTAAAAAATAATTGCAATTAAAGAGGACATCTGTTCATTCTATCCAATATGGCAAGAATGAGAAACTTTTGGAAGGTCACTGTCCAACATAGGGTCAGGGATGACAGCTGAATGACACTGTTTTCACCTCATGTAGAGTAATAATGTTCACTTTAGGGCTCCCCACTGTACACTTTCACCTTTGCTAAATTACGCTCTCTGCATTTATCTGACCTGTGGGCTGTAGGACTATACAATAAGTTGGGTTGTTATCTCAATTATCGTAGGGTTAATTAATTTGTGTGGGTAAAAGCATTCTGTGTTTCCATAGATAAAAGATTTGAAAAATATTCAATACTATTATGTGTTGCTTCCTAAACCTTTAAGCAAAAGCTTAATTAGTGACTTTGAGAAGGAAATGAGATGTAATCATGCACATTATGTTTTGAAGACCTAGTCTTTTTGGCCGTAAAAATGTTTTCAGCATGAGGTTCATTATGTTTCTTCCATTATTCAGTTCTGAGAAGAATGCATTTAATAAAAATGCAACATATTCCTGTGATCTGAAAGTATAAATGATGCTACTATAAAGTTTAAAAAACATGTTTCCATCTGCTAAGTGAAATTTCAAACCCAAGAAAACATGTGACCTTACATTACTATAGTGACATTTAGTATCTTCTAACTTTATTCAAAATTTGAACTTACAGAAAGGTAAAATAAAATATTAAACATTTTATAAAAATATTTAAACATTACTTTCAATTAAACTTTTTTGATCAAGCTAATGAGTATCTAGAACATTATCTGCAAAGCAATTCTTCGTACCTTCTCTACAATTGATGTCTTTGCTTGACTTTCTTTTGTTTTTCTCTTGGGTTATGGGTAGACCAAGGGAAAAAATTGACAGGTATAAATAATAATAAAAATAATTCCATCTATTTTTTCCCTTATATTCCAACATCTTTACAGTAACCCTATCAATATTCTTTCAAGTTGGGAATACTTGAAATTGCATGTTGCTTTTGTAGTGAGTACATTCCAGGGTGAAACTTAAAGTCAGTTCCCTAGGATATTGATATATGATTAAATCAGGTCTTTTCATAAGTTGTGTTCGTCATTCATTCAGCTGAGTGCCCATTATGTGCCAGGCCTGGTCTTACATGCTTGGAATACAGTGTTGAACAAAATAGACCAAGATCTCTGCCTCATGGAGTTCATATTCTAGGAAGAGGAGATGAATGATAAACAGTCAAAATAATGATTAGCTAAACTATACAATATCTTAGAAGATTAAAAGCACTCTGAATAAAAAGCAGAGCAGCACAAAAAGAATTGGGATGCTGTCAGGAGGGATGCATTACAATCCTAAATAAGGTGATCAGGGCAGACTTCATTCAGGAGGTGACCTTTGATTAAATACTTCAAAGAAGTGAGGGAATCAGTATTCTAGGCGAAGCCCTATGGTGGGAGTGTGGCCTCGTGAGTTCATGGAACAGCAAGGGAAAAAATGTGGCTGGAGGCAGAGTAGCCAGGGAGACAGTAGAAAAAAAGGAGGCCTGGGAAATAAAAAGAGCAGCCAATTCATGCAGTACCTTGAAGGCCTCAGTAAAGAATCTGCCTTTTACGTTGGATAAAATGAAGAACCACATGCTTTAGTTCCTCCTCTGCGGGAAATGGGGAACCACTGGAAGATTTTGAGCACAGGAGTAATACGATCTGACATCTACTTTAAAAGGTTCACTCCGGCTACTGGGTTGCGAATAGACCCCAGGGGGCAAAGGGCGGATGCTGGGAGAGCAGCCAGGATGTTATTAGAGTAAAGGAAGTGAGAGCTGAGGAAGTTCTCCAACTGGGGGAGTAACAACATCTACTTCTCACTCTGAGAAGTCGTCAAAATACTGTATTTTGAAGGTAGAGCCAAGAAGTTTTCCTGGTAGAGTGCATGATTTCTGGTCTGAGCAACTAGAAGGATAGAGATGCCATCAAGTGAAATGGTAAAGGCTGTGAGTGGAGAGGGATTTGGGGGGAAATCCAAAACTTGGATCAGAAATCCAAGTTTAGACATGTCAAATTTGGGATATTTATGAGACACTCAAATGAAGATGTTCAATAGGCACTGGGATAAAATGACTTGGTTTGGACTGGAGATACATAACTTTGGGAGGCATTAGCATATAAATGGCACTTACTACCCTGGGGTTGTAATACTCAATACAAGCGAAGAGGTAAGTGTCGATACAGTATGAAAGAAAAGACAAGACTGAGCCATCAGGTACTCCAGTATGAAATATCATACAACAAGAACTGACAAAAGAAGAACAAGAGGAATTATCATAGTCATATTGATCTGAAATTTGCTCCCTCAAGTTTAAGATGATAGAGGAAAAAAAAGTTGACAGAGGAAGGACAGTACAGGAAATTAATACAAATATAAAGCACAGTTACATGTAGAAGGTACTCTGTTCTTTTCCTGTAGAGACAGAGAAAGAAAAGACATGAGTGTGGATGGGAAATTAACTTCCTCAGGGTGTGTTAAATTTAGAACTTGCCTGCCTTTTATATGTCAAATTGTACATGCACAGATTGACTTAGAAAGCATTATTGAAATCCTTTAATGCAAAATGCAATATTTTGTTTATGAAGTCACATGTACTCAATATATTTTTATATATGGAACTTCTAGCATATGCTCAGTAAATATTTGTCAGATTATTAATATATTACCTGTGCTCTTTGTTGAACTTTTTTTTTCTTTTGTAATTTTAGTAGAGACTGAGTTTCTCCAAGTTGGCCAGGCTAGTCATGAACTCTTGCCCTGAAGTGATCCAGCCACCTTGGCCTACCAAAGTGCTGGGATTACAGGCGTGAGCCACTGTGCCTGGCCTGTTGAGAATTTCAATATCATGTTTAAAGTTGTTCTCTTGACGTAATGAAGATATATGAAAATTTTCTTCAATACTTTTTCTCAAGACATACATATCTATTGGATCAGATGCCAGTTTATTGAGACATGCATTATACTTTATAATTACTTGTCAGTACTCACAGCAGGTAGACACAGTGGATGTGAATTGCCTATTTATCTTAATTCTGGCTGACTGGCAACTGTAGTCAATTAAACAAACATTGAAAATATGAATATCTTCAAAAAAGAAATGGATTGTATTACTTGGATCTAAATAATCTTGATTCAGCTAGAACTTCTATCTGTATGTACCTAGAAATACTCTATGAAATTGGAGGTGTTTTAGTGACCATCTAGAATGTTTCCTTCTCTCTGTGAGGAGCAGAGGATAACTAACAAATCTGAACCTTCGAGAGTCAACAGTTTAGCTCACCAGGATAGGAGGAGACAGTGTTGATGTGAGTTGTCCTGAGGATGCCCACGCGGGTCGCCCTGTGGTTCTTCATGCACATGCAGATGCATATGGCAATCCCAGCAATGACTCCCATGATAAATACTATTCCAAAAACAATGCCCGCAATTGCAGTGCCCCTAAAAAGAAAAATAAGTACATTTACTCGAAAGGCTTGTAAGCATTCTTTGGACTTTCTAGTACCGCTCCATGATTATAGAACAAGTGTTTCCTTACAAATGATCTTAAGGATAATTTTTTTTTTTTTAACCCAGAAGTTCCCTGAATTGGTAAAGCAAATAGTCTGTATTTCAATAGATATGAAAAAGTTATAAAAATCCTCGTCTAGCACAGTTGACCAACTCACCATTCAGATTCTGGTTCTTAAAATTCATGGTTTGATACAAAGCACAATTCATTAGATATGCTCTCCAAAGTAACAATTTTAAAAACCATTCTGCTGTGTACCTAAACAGTAAATAATTTATATTGGGCATAGCATGCATGTGTTTAATGAAAACAACTTGGTAGATGTCAGAAAATTAAGGGAAATTTAACATTCATTCCTGATTAACACTCTTCATAGAACAAGAATATTTTTTTCTTAATAAAAGAAAACCAAACCAAACTTCATATTTTTAAACTATCCAGAGAACATTACGACAAACAAGTATCCCATTAAATTCAGGAAGAATGTAAATAAAACTTCGATTTCTACTCATGTTAATGGTTTCTTTCCCCCAGAAAGTTTTAGCTCATGCAACAAAACCATAACTAGAAAAAAAGCCGAACAGCATAAGAGTCAACATTATGATTGTGGGGAATATAATTTGTAGGTATCTACATTTTTCTGTTACTTTGAAAAGCAATGGGGAAATCTTTATCAAAATATAAATTTTGACCAAGAAGCATCATTTTTAGCAATGCTGCCTAAGGAAATGTAGCATATGAGCATAAATATTATAACAAGGATGTTCATCACAGTGTTGTGGCTAATAGCAAAATAGGAGAAATATCCTAATGTCCATAAAAAGAGGACTGACAGAAAAAAAATCATCAGAAAATGAATCTTACATATTGATTAAAAAGGTCAAGAGATCCACATGGATTGAAGTGAAATGTTTATGACACATGGTTAACTTAATAGTAATGGTATTACTATTGATAGTAATTCATATTCATTCAGTTAATTAGTGTTAGCTTCCAGCTCCATCCATGTGCCTGCAAAAGACATGATCTTGATCTTGGTTTTTTTTATGGCTGCATAATATTCCATGGTGCATACGTACTACATTTTCGTTTTCCAGTCTGTCGCTGATGGGCATTTAGGTTGATTGCACGTCTTTGCTCTTGTGAACAGTGCTGCAATGAACATTCACATGCATGTGCCTTTATGGTAGAATGCTTTATTTTCCTCTGGGAATGAATTAGTATTAATTGAATACTAATTCAATTAATTAGTATTTTCAATACTTACTAGTGTTGAATGCTAGTAATTAGTATTGAATGGAAAAGCAAGTATTAACAGGATGCTACCAGTAATAACGGAATAATTGCCATGAGGTAAAACTGTATTTCTATGTATCAAGTTTTTTATTGTCTATAGTGATCATCTTGTAAATATGGAAAAATAAAAATATTCACTTTCTCATTTGCATATTCACCAAAAGCAACCACTTCAACCCTTTCAGTTATTTTTTCTAATGCCCTTTCTCCTATTTCTCAATATTATTATTACATTCTTTAAGGTTTTGTTTTTACTTCTTACAGTATTTGGGAATGTAGATCTCTCAGACAAGCTTTATCGCTGGTTAAATCAGTCTTCAGTATTTACATTACCATAACTTTGCTATCTGTTGAGCCAAGCAATGAATCCTGGTTACCTTTTACAAATTATTATTGCATTTCTTTTACAACTTATAATTTTTAAACGATTTCCATGAATTTTAATTTTTCCACATACGTATTGATATCTGCTCCTTGCAAAAATTCCTAGAAATCTTTCCCACATTATCAGTAGCTTTTTCTTACTCAAACACAGTAAAATAGCTTATCAGTTCTGTTCTGTTCCCATGACGATTTCCTTCTTACAGCAACTAAGACTACTGACTGGTTGTTCTGATCCTGGAACTGTTCCCCTTGATCCCTGTTTGGTGGTCCTCACATTTAGTTTCTGGACCTAATTCTTGCTAATTCTTGGTGAACTGCATTGTTTGTTGAAGCACATTCCTGAATGGCTTCTTAAAAATGGAAAGTAGATTTTTCGAGTCTTCGAATACCTGAAAATGACTCAATGCTTCACTCTCACGTGACTGATAATTTATCTATGTATGAAATTCTAAACTGAAAGACATTATTTCTTAGAAATATGAGGACATTGCTCCTTGTCTTCTGGAATTTGGAGCGGCTGTAAAGAAGTCCCATGGCATTATAATTACTTTTCTTTGTGTGATACTGTTTTTTCCTTTTCTGTCTTTCTGGAAGTTCTTACTTAGCATTTTCTTTTTACTCTTGGCATTCTAAAATTTCATAATGTGCCTGGATTTAAAATATATATATTTTGCCAGTCCTTTTGATTCTTTATGTTCAGAGGCTCATGTCCTTCACTTGTTGAAACTCTTCCAAACAATGTTAATTTTTTCTTCACTATTTTCTGTGTTCTTCTTTCTGGAAACCCATTCTGAAATGAGCTTCTGAACTTTCTGGATTGATTCTCTAATTGTTTTTTAAAATCCTTTTTAAAAAACTACTTTCTGGAGAATTGCATTGACTTTATCTTCCAAAGTTCTACTAAGCTTTAAATTACAGTTATTTTATTTTTAATTTTTGGGTGCTTTATCTCATCCTCTATTGCACTCCCCTCCCTGTTTTCATTGCCTGTGTTTCTTCCATTCATGCAGTCTCTTAATCTTTGAAAGCACAATGATATGTTCTTTGATACTTTCTCCACTGTTTGTATTTCCTCATTCTGTCTAGGTTCTTTTTTATTGATTGTTCATTTGATCTCATTCATGTTTGATGTTTTCTTCAAATGTCTGGTGATCCTTGAATTCTCTCCTATTAAAAAAAAAAATGCTTGAAGTAGCTACTTGGAAGTTTAGTGTGCAAGCCAGAATTTGACAGGTGAACTCTAAGGAACAGGACAAACTGAGATCCGTCCCCATAGATCTTTTCCTTGGGGCTATTCATTTTTCTCCATGAAAGGATTCTCCAATTTCATACTCGGGGAGCATCAGCCTCACTGCCAGTATCCCGGAGCTTGGAGTTTTACTTGTAAGGATACGAACTTTCATGAAATCCTTATGCTTTCATCTCAGAGACCCAGTCTCTGGCTCCGCTTTGACTGCTGTCTTTTGGGTTACCCTGTGGAGGCTTACAGGTTTAAGTCTTCACAAACCATTCTTTGTGGTGTAAAAGCATGATCTCTAAAGGCAGATCACCTAGGTACCAACTATAGCTGGGGAACCTTGGGCATGTTGCTCAACCTTTCTGCGCCTCAGTTTCCTCATTTATAAAGTGAACGTCAGTTTGGTGCTCATTTGACTCTCCTCCCAAATTTCTTGTCATGAGTCTTGTGCTCCTGGACTTATCTGTTGGGTAAATAGGTCCTTATTCTCAGTGGTACCTGAACATCGATCCTATACTTTTCTGGGACTAGCCATAATTTCTTACCCCAAACCATTGGGGCCAGATCTGTCTCACAGTCAGAAATGTTCAGATTTTGTAAAGAAAATACATACACTACACATCGTAAAATATACCCAGGGGCAGCTAGGACACCATCTTGAGAACGTTTCCATTCCTACAGTGAAGGTGGGAATATTAACGCTGTTAGATTATATGGGGACTAGACAAAAGCCCCAGGTTTGTTCAGGTCAAGTCTGGCCACCAACTGACCTTCATCTGCAATTCTGAAATCCTCAGAAAACTCTGAAAAGTGAAAGTGCACATAAGGGATTGTGAAGCTGTATTTATACTTTCCAGAGGATATTTTTCTCTCTAACACTTTTCCCCACTCACATACAAAAATACAGTGCCATTAGGAGTATCAATAAACTTCTTTAAAATACTTCTATAGGAATTTTTACTTTGTTATTAAGATGGCAGAATGTGAGACATATTTGGATGTGTCACTATTAGTAATTAAATAATAGCAGAGTCTAGTAGTTTAATAAATAAATCTTTTCAAGAAAAAAGATCTATGAAAGGAGATAATTTGAAGTAAGAAAACTAAAAGTAATCTGGAAATTTCCTTATTGTAAGTTTCAGGTCCAAATAAGATTAAACTGGAGGACTTAATTTATGTTCCAGAAATAATCAATGGCCCAGTTATTCAGGCACAGAGTTTCCAAACTATGCGTTATGGAAGCTGTTAAGATATCAAATTGGGACATATTTATATTCATTAATTCTTTTCTTAAATAGAAGAAAGTAGAAAATTAGTCACATTTTGTTTCCTTGTTGGCAGCTCCTGCAAAAGTGCCTGCTCTTGAGGTCAGTAATGAGGTTGCAACTAATGTATTAAATTAGTTTTTTTGATTAAATCATGATGTTGGTGCCCTTGATCCTTTGATACCCATTAGCAATCATAAATTAGTTATTTAAGACATGGCAAGGATAAAATTTACAGCAATATTTACTTTGTAATTAATAAAAAGAAACAATAAACAAATAGTAACCTTCCTGCATATAAATAATTGGCTCAGTCAACTGTTGGAAAGTGAGAGGCTATTAATTTGAAAAATCTGGCATCATTAAAACCTTGAAAATATTTCAGAGAATGTATTTCTTTTAAAGCAACGCTTTGCAAGGTTTGCACATTTTCCTCTCCTTTTAAACTTTTATTTTAAAATAATTATAATTTCACAGGAAGTGTAAAAAGAGTACAGAGAGAGCTCATGTACCCTTCACCCAGTCTCCCCAAATGGTTACATCTTAAGTAACAATGGCACAACATGAAAAGCAGGAAATTGACATTACTGTAAAGTGTATGTATAGTTCTATGTCATTTTAACACATGCACAGAGTCATATAACCACTACAGCAAGCAAGGTACAAAACTATTCCATCATCACAAAATATTTCCCTTGTGCTATTGCTTTGCTTTATGGTCATATCCAACATGCCTTCTCTCTGCCAT